GCACCGATTTCACCCGTGTCATCCCTATATAGAGCGTCTACCGACGCTCTGATATATACACTGAAAATTCCGCTCGAACGAACGACTAGGTTGGCTCGCTCCCGCTCGGCAATAATAGCGCGCACGCGTTATGTCAATTATTCGCCGGAGCATGCGCTTGGTTGTATATGGCCTCCTGTCAGTTTTGAACTCTGTTCCTTGTGGATAAACGATAAACATGCTGAGCAAGGTATGTTTGCAATAGTTCAGGTGGCGAGCAGTTTGTGGTTGCGGCCTTGCCTTCCCATCTATAAAACGTCTGGCGGGAGCATTGAAACACAGAAGAGCAGATAGATTGAATAAAGCAAATATGAGAGCCTCTGAAACACCTGAGCTATTGCTCTAACCGCTAATGCAACTACCCTGTGTTACGGTGAAACTCGTGTTACTGGCTCTGTCGATGACGCACGGCCCAGCATACAGCGATGCTACAACTCGCTAGTTTACCGCCGAGGGTTTGCACTTTAGTGCTTTTCATTTACCCCAGCGACAATCTTTACTCCAGCTACCATACTTACCCCGGCTATGCCAGTCCCCCCCACCCTTTAGCCCAGCTTTTTTACACAAGCTACCTTATTTATTCCAACTATATCAGCTACCGCAGGTTTTACCCCGGCTACTTCTTTTACCCCAGCTATATACCACACAGAGTGCTGCCAGTGATGCCCAATTCAGCTCTGCAGTTGCTCCACACTCAGATATGAAGCTATTGCCCTTCCTACAATACCCCATGTTTCAACGTATAGCTAATAACCAGTTACAATGTCCATCTTGTGCTACGTTTATCTTTTTACTTCAGGGCTACTCCTATGGTACACCTGCCGACTTATCAACACATTGAGATAATGAAACATTGCGAAATATTCTTACATCTGACAATTTATCCCACTAACTTTTTATGAATAGCGTCTGGCTATTGGTGGCTTCTTCAGGTAGAAAAATAAGAAAGGTGTGCATCTCATTAAGAGTGGAATACTTATGGTGGGTGCCACTTTTTAGCATCAGCCTCATACATTTGATATATCATGCAAAAACACTTGTACGTGGTACTTGTGCATAGAAGTAACAATAAAAACTTGGTACACTGGATAAGTGTTTATCAACAAGTTTCCAAACAGCCTCGGGGAAATAAAACACAGTATAATATATCAAGCCAGTCTAGTGCAAAATTTTTCCCACTGCAGCAGGCAGACAGAATGAAGGACGGATGAACAAACTTACATTCACGTCAAGGGTTAATAATACTTTTGCATGGTATTGACCGTTATTTTTCTTTGAGGGTGCTATTTTGGGTCAAATCTAGTGGAGAATGCAGTCTTTGTCCCAAATGTTTCTCCACGATCTTCCCATACTCTGACCTTCCCAACAGAGTGTAGGCGAGGGGCAGAAGGTGGCCGACGACGTTATGGAAACTGTCGCTATGAGTGAAGAGGTCTAGCCCCAGTTCCAGCCCCATCCCATAGTCACACTCATCGTTGGCAAACTGGACATAGGTTATGATCTCCTGGAGAGGCTCAAACAGCTGGTCTCGTTTCTTTGGCTCTTGACACTGAGAGATATTGTCCAGAAGCTTCTTCAGCTCTCCTGTAGAATCAGAAGAAGAGACAGATGGTCATTAAAAGTGAATTCTTACTTCAAAAATCCTCATCCAATTTATAGCATACAGATCGAGATGAAGGAATTATATAAGCAAAGAATTTGTGTATCTAAGTTTGCTCCAATTAGAAGGCTTTTTTATTTGTGGCCACTTGTTGCGGCAGAGTATGATGGCGAATGTAACGTGAAAATCTTACTATCAGTTTTGGTAAGTGATCGGTAGCCGACATCAGTCTTCTTGTCGTAGGGAACGACTATCCCAATCTTGTGAAGACACTTGGCCTGGACTTGCTTGCTCCTCCGTTTGGACAGAGTCTTTCCATCTGTAGCTCCCAGGTTTAGTTCCCGCATCTTCTCCTGCAGTTGCTTCTCCAAAGACTTTAGTAGCTTCGTTTGATTTGGTGTAGATTTCAGTGCCTTTTCTACCTCAAACCTGAAAGGATAGTACAGCAATCCATGTACTAGAAGAAACAAACTTAGTTGCTCGTGTAGAAAAATTAGAAGCTGAAAATGCCATGCTGCAGGCACAGTATGGTTGGTGCAGGGACAACCACCAAAGTCGGGAAAAGATACAGAATTTTAAAGATATCAACTGTATAACGTAACATCCAACTATCTCAGTTGTTCTATATAGAAAATAATCACAGTGATATATGTACTCACCTAACTGCTGCAAAAATGGTCTGTGCTTCAATTTTCAGCTCACATCCCTTGCTGGGATCATTGGATACAATGAGAACACCATCTGATTGCCCAGGATCATCCCTGCCAAAAAGATGACACACTCATAATTGTGTCCAGGGCTCATGTAAAAAGAAACTACACACCATGATTCAAGCACTGAGTTCGTAAAAGTGTATGTGTACTATTAAAAAGGTAGGCCCACATGTAAGCATACAGCTACATAATGGTAGCTTCACACTAGGCGGTACTGTAACGCATGGCTGTCATTGTTACCCGCTTTTCACTGTTCATCATTATTGTTAGACACTTTTCAGCAAGTTCCCAGCTAAAACATACTGCTCGAAACTCTGCTACTATGTACTATTTACTCTGTGACGTTTAACAACATACTGTAAGGACAAACAAACAGATTCAAACATGCAAATAGAGGTAAACACTTTTATTCTGCATAAACAGTGAACCCCACAGTCTGGCCATGCCATGCCCACCTGAAGTAGCCCAGGTGGTACTGGTCCTCCTTTCTCCTCAGAACTGTCACCATCTCTGGAGGGTCATAGAAGTAGCGGTAGTGGAGAACACACCTGTCCCAGGTCACACCTTCAAGTCTCCTTGCTAGCACGTGGTAGGGTCCCACCAGCTCCAGCCCCAGACTGGACACCAGGGCACCTGCACACACACACACACACACAACAGAGAATAGTGAATGCTTCCATCCCCAGGGTACGTATATCTCTCCACACATGTCAAACAATGTTAAAGTGAATGCCAATGCTAATGGATGACATTCAGAGGCAAAGGAAGTCAAACTCAAGAGTTAGGGGCAACCAGGGCAGCTGCAAACCACACCGCACAGTGAGAGGGATACATGAGCCAATAGTCCCTACTATAAAGTGTACATGGCAAAAGTCAAAGGCATTACCAAAGGGTTCAAACTGAGGAGTATATAAATAGGGGCAAGAGATGAATAGAATAATATTCGTAGATGAGTTCTGGTTGCTAGAGCACCATGAAAAAAATAGCTGATCTGTGACACATCAGAATTAGGGCTCTGTATAATTATACATACATAATAGTCTGTCAGAGCCTTGCAGTACGTTGCTGACCAGTTAAAGGTTAAAGGGATGGGGTGAATGCACTTTTGACTTCAACTCACACTCAGGGTGGGTGGAGTCAATGGACTTGCAGAACTCCCAGAACTGGTAGAAATCCTCTGGCATGTCAACTAGAAACTTCCTCTTTACCTTCTCCCCCACATCAGCACAGGCTCTGTCCTTCTCCAGCTCAGTAGCATCAGCACCAGCCTCCAGCGGCCCTAATTGAGGCTCATTTGACCTGCAATCAACTGCACTGCTGTGTTCCTCAGAGGTGCCACTCTGAGAGCAAGTTCGCCCTGGAGGAGAGGTTGAAGGACTGGGAGGTTCTGTCAGCTTTTTCCTTTTCGCATCAACTTCAGAGACATCCTGATTCTCACACTGCAAAGGCCGGTAGAAATACCATTGCATGTGTTTAATCTGCTAGCCCTCTGTTCATTATTTCAGTGTGTTTTGCTCCTACTGAGAGAGAGAGCCTGGCGGAAGGCGGCCCAACTCACCGTCTCTCTCTCGCGCCTTAGTACGTAAGTACGTATAGCCTGTTAGCGGCGGTACTTACCACAGCAGATATGGCTCGCTATACGAAAAACGGCGGACTTAGCTACCTACAAGGTCATGCCCGTGGGTGCTTGGCTTACTCTGCGTTTGTTTCTCCCAGCAGGAGGAGGAGCGGTCCCGGGGGGCGAGGCGACTGCCGATCCCAGCACCTGGCTGGACTCATCAGAGGCGACATTGTCTTCTAGTGGAGGGTGAGCAAATCGGCGGAGGTGATCAGGATTCTTCCTGTAGCACTTGGATCCGTATTTACATGTACGCTTATTAGGTGTGGGTTCAACTTCAGCAGCCATCTCTTATTCCAGACTGATACACACGCCCTTTTTCCCGCCTAATCTGCGCTTTGAAATTGCGCATGCGCTTATAAAACATGCTTATTCTGCACAATTTCATAGCAGAGAGTACAGTGTATATACATACACCCACACAACGGAGCTGAATCACAAAACAACTTTAAAGCGGTCGGCAGACATTTAGAATGGAGTGGACGGATAATGAAAAAGAAATCTACACACACTGCATAAAACACTGAAAACTGCGCGCTGAATAATAATCAGAGGCCAAAACTGGCTCCTCTGTCAAATTTCCCAACCACCCTCCCGGTGTCCGGGTTAATGTGCTCGATGTCTTTGAGTTGGTCGATACAGAGTGGAACTAGACCAAGACAGGGACAGCAGAATGAACCTGGGAGGGAGGGAAATTAGAGTATAAGTAAAATACCAGACTTGAATAATCAAGCAGGGCACAGTCATGGATAGTCTAGTCAGCCAGACCCTCACTCTATACATGCATACCGCAGTAATAACAATACTTGAATAGTCATGCAGGACACGTCATGCATAGTCTAGTCTCACGCTATACATGCATACCGCAGTAATAACAATACTTGAATAGTCATGCAGGACACGTCATGCATAGTCTAGTCTCACGCTATACATGCATACCGCAGTAATAACAATACTTGAATAGTCATGCAGGACACGTCATGCATAGTCTAGTCTCACGCTATACATGCATACCGCAGTAATAACAATACTTGGCGAGCACAGAATTTTTTATCGCAAACACTCACGGATATGCAATTTCAATTCCCCCCAGTAGGTCAGTACTACTCAAATGTAGAGATAATAGTGAGCGGGATCGAGTATACTACTACGTCACACAGAGGTCATACACAGCCACAGTTGAGAAACCATAGTTAAGATGCCAAGCTGTGAAATTGCTTTGTGCTGGGTGCTTTGCATAGACCATGGGGATGAACTATCAGCTGTTAACCATTGCGCAAGAAGTGTGGCATTGTCAGCAATGAGTGTCCCTCAATCTCATGTGTATGTGTGTGTACACATGTCGAAATTTTATATAACACATTTTGGTATGTGTGGGAGTGTGAATTATAGACAAGTGCCTGTTGTTAGGACTAGGTTGGCTCACTCCAACTCCCGAATAAATAAGGTGGCCATAGGCTATCGAAATGCCTACTTGCCTTAATTAAACCCTATTGGCCCAACCCAAAGTGATCAGCTGAACCTACCAGTTATGACACAGATGACTCCGACAACCAGCCAGGTGAACAGACCACTGACATATCTCAACTCTGTGGTGAATGGGACTCCGTTGCTGTCCACCATAACGACGGGGACGTCCCTAAATCTGGGGCCCGTTGACGGGGTTGGCTGCTGGATAACTACAACTGCATGAGACAGAATGAGAGGTATTCCCATCCACTACTTGCATGTATAGCTAAAGGTCAACTTTAAATGTATAATGTTGGTAGGACTGTTTGCTGGCACGAGGAAAAGTGTATATGTGTTCATCAATTCACGCATAATACACAGAACTATGTTGTGTATGTGTGCATTGTATAATGCACACATTATACTGTACCTTTAGGTTGAGGGGAAAAACGTGAATGTGCAATCGTAGAATGCAAGCATTATACAGTACATAGAGTATATATATACCTTTAGATTGAGGCAAAATGTGTATGGTACGTTGCACCAAGCAAGCAAAGTACCTTCATGTTGAGGGCGAGGTGGACTAGCAGTAGAAGTCTCGCAGCCTGTCGACTCTGTGGAATGGCAACATGACAGTAAACAGAAAAGCCTTACTAAGAGTGTGGAAGACTGGGTGACAACACAGTGATATGAGCACCACTAACTGGGCTACCAACCTGTCCAGGCTTCCTGGGTCACAGGTGGAGCAGCAGACTCCGCCAGCACGGCAGGAGGAGGCGGGGAGCAGCCGTTGGTTATCTCTGAGTGGTTTGAAATTAGAGGGACCACCTCGTTACTGTCGCTCTCCCTATGTTGGTGGTCTCTGCCCTCTCGTAGAAACTTCACTGCCGATTTTACGGGAGATGATGCCACTATAGATGGGAATCATTAGTAAATGACAATAATTATATGGATGTGTAGCTATACATATCTTCCTAGAAGAGGTTGCCGATGATGTCACACAGATTACATACCTCTATAATATTGTCACACTGTATTGTGTGTCATCAAACATTAGTAAGAGTCTTATTATTATAGTCCTATATTATAGCCACATACACTATATACTGCATAGTGGTATGTGGTCAAGGGAGTGAACAGGTAGTTTGGTGGACAATTGCACAGAGTCAACAGTGCATCACATGACTGAAAGTTGTTTGCTCCCAAACACATCGCCTCACTCTCCAGCTATTCACAGTTATATCTGACTACCAGTATAAACACACAATCTCAGCAGAAACATGGAGCTAGCTAGCTCTACAACAATCAGAGGGTATTCATTGTAATAAGTTAACAAACCACAACTTATTTGGCTATATTGGGTGAGAATGGAACCCACAACACTGCTATATATGGCAGACTGCCGTTGCACATACCCAACGACATGCACACAGCAAGGGCGTTCCTAGTACAGCCAAAATTGACTGGTACAAATCAAACTGCCAAGCTCGGACTGTGGACCGTAATGTAGGTTCATTGAAGACTGAATCTCTGCTGACAGGCCATGTTATTTATACAACATCATCTCGTTTTTCATGGCAAAAGTAAGTGTGACCTGCACACAAAGCAGCTAGCTAGCAATGGTTATCACAAGTATAGTCAATAGTACACAAGCCCGGGCCGAACATTACTCCGTTGGGAGTCTCGTAGCGTAAGGATTAACGAAGAGGATGTCACACTGATGTACAGAGGGACACACCAAGCCCAAATCTTCTCAATATGATAGTATAGATGGCTCACTCGCTGGCGTGTGTTGACTGGCGTTCGTCAAGCAACTCGGTCGGCTAGTGAAGGATGCGATGATCACCTTCTAGTGTCAGAACCATCGCTCTCATAGTCTCGGGCGTCACGGCAGAAAGTTGAATCCGCAACGAGCACACGCCACACACGGGTCGAAGTTTGTTGCGCATGCGCATTACTAGAGGCGCATAAAAATAATTATGAATATTCAAAGTTGAAAGTTGTAAATAAAAATCCAGTTTATCATCGGTAGCACATGTAACTTATTTAAGTCCCAGATCAGCTCCGCGGTCGTACTTGCCCACCACAGAGCCGTCATTAGGATTGATGTGTTCCACGTCCTTGAATGACTTGATGCAGAGTGGGAGGAGCCCAAAGCAGGGGAGACCGAACGCCCCTGTGAGAGGAGGGAGGAGGAGGAGGAGGGGAACTTGGGGGGTTTGTTTGAATAGTTTATGTGTGACGGCTCTGTCGGGCACTGCGCATACCGTACTGTTCTACATTATTCTAAATACACGCAAAACACTCAATTGAACTGCTCACGCTCGCTTGCCAACAATTCTTCTAGTATACAGACTGCGGGGATTAACATAAGGTAATGCTAAGAGGATACTGTAGTTGTTCCAAGATGCACTCAACATCAACTACTATTCAAACATGCATACACAGAAAGGAATGCAACGCATTGTTGGCAAGCGAGCGTGAGCAGTTCAATATTTCGCACGTGTTTTGCAGAATCATGTAGAACAGTACGGTATGTGCAGTGGCCGACAGAGCTGTCACATAATTATAAATAAATACGACTAGGTAGGCTTGCTTCACTCGCCAATTATACGAATAGTGACAACTATGTTCGGTGCCTATTGCAACATGTTCTCTTACACAACCTTACTACAACACACGGGCATTATAGTTGACCAGATGACAACAGCCTCGTGACCCATGACACAATGCAGTTCATGTAACAAAACACAAATCAACTTTACACACTGCATACATGAAAAGGCACTAAAGTGCAAACCCTCGGCGAAGTACGCATAGTATGTGGTATATACCACTAATTGATGGGCTGGGCTATGAGTATGCATTTACTCACGGAGAGTCTTACACGGGGTAGCTACAGTAGTAGATAGCATACGGGTCTCGATACACGCCCTTCGTTGTGAATTCTTGTGCCTTGAGAGCAAGCAGACCCGGTCAAGGTGCTGTAAGGCTGTTCTAATTAGCATGTTGGCTTTTTCGCTCGTTTTTCACGAGGTAACTCCGGAATGCAGCAAAAATCATCCAAATATTTTTCAACCTATACCCGACGCTGAATACGTGGTATTGTTTGTGGAGTGATTGATGGCTCGTGAAGTGAGATGCCGTGGAACAGACTGACAGACACACAGACACAACAACTACCGTAACCCTCGCTGCGTATGCGTACCGAGGGTTAACAATAATTGTGTGCATCCTAACCTGCTTGCATTAGGTTTATAGTGTCAACAGTTAGAGCATGCCAAACCCATAGTAGCAGTGGAGCAGATGTAAGGTAAATGCAATTGGTGATAAAATTAGACCTAGACAACCTGGGATTCTCATGAAAGTATTATAGCTTCATAGATACCACTGCCTGCCCCTTTAAGTCAAAAGATGGCTGCACTAATGTGCATAACCATGCAGGCTTTCTTGGGAGAGTCATGAACTGAGACTCTTTTGGGAAAAATAGCAGACATACTGAGCAACCCTAAGGAGCCTTACAACAAAGATACAATAGGACACACCCCTGTAACAGGCAGAAGGTGATTATAAGTCATGTGACAGTGTATGTAACAACCCCTGTTGACCTTTCTACTAACTTTACAGCTAAGGAATTCCAATTTTAGGGTAAAAATGCACACCCCTCTAAAGCGCGTACCTGTTGCGAATGAGATGCTTACACGAAAAATTACAAGGTATGGCAATTAAATGTTGTAGTCTCGTACCCAGACCCTGCCCTCTAAACAAGAAAAAGGGTCTGGTGACATTTGAGCAATTTCTTTTGACTCGCCTAGAGAATGCGGATGTACGTCTGAAGAGGGAGAAGTGCATGTTTATGGCCGACGATGTGATTTACCTGGGGCACCGCTTGGTTGTGTTGATTCGAGAGTCTTATGAGACACCGAATCAGATTGCAATATTTGCAACTATCGTGAAACGTCACAATCATGATAAATTGTGCAACCATTCGTAACGGAGCTCTGTAAACTGCGCATGTCCACAAACGGAAACAGGCTTTTCTGTGCATGCACTCAACAATGTCGAGTCAGCACAACCAAGAAAGAGTCACGAGACTTTAAATGTTGTACGTACCGGCAACTAGGCAGGTAATTCCGACTGCAACCCATGTCAGGAGTCCACTGGTGTATCTGGTTTCAGTGGTGAACCTGTTGCCCTTGTCGTCCACCATGTCGACCGGGAACTCCTTGAAGACGGGTTGGGTGGACAGTGGAGGCATTACCACCACCCCCGCTGGAGCATGCTGGCCGATCAGGGGAGTATTCTCCACCACTGGGAGGGAGAATGTAAGACTAGGAACGCAAAGAGCAATAAAAAAAAAAATTGATAAAGTAGAGGTAAGGTGTGCAGAGTGCATACCAGTTTAGGGAAGGAAGGGATGGAGAATGTAAGACAAGAGCAATCAAAAAGTTGAATGGAGCGAGAGAAGGTGTACAGGGGCGTTTTTTAGGGGTGTAGAGCTAAAAGATCGGCTCACCTCGCTGGGGAGCAGTGTCAAATGGAGGTGGCTGCTTCTCGTCAGACATCTCTCACTCCGACCGCTAGCTGCAGGCAGGGAAAGTTTCTGGCGTAGCTGCCGAATTAGCGTAAAAAATCGACTGCCAGAAGACGCTTAGCCACCCCAAGAACAGTGCAGTATGTAAAAGGTCACCGCGGCGCCTCTAGCCCTCAATCAGATGACGCAACAAGCCACCCTGACCCAACCCATTTTTTTTATTGCTGCTCAGCCTTTCCACGGGCTCACTCTCCCCGATCCACACACGACGTGTAGCAGATCATGGCAGCTCAAGAGCAAGTTCTGCCATCATACCAAGATCTAATCCAGTAAGTTACTCGAAGGGCCGCACACTGACCGAGTCAGCGTCCCCCTTTTAGAGGGGCTGGCTCCGCGAGACTACACCGCTAAGCAACTTTAGCTGGTAGTAGGGCTCTTGTTGATGTCAGTAGAGCACGATTCACACAAACAACGTATGAATGGGAGCAAATTCTTCCCAATATTTTTCGAGCAGCCGGCCCCTCTCTAATGAAGAAGGGGGAGAGGGGCTCCCGTAGGGGAGGGGCTGACTCCGCCAGACTGATGTGGGATTGTTGTTGGTTTTACAGGGAGAAAGGCCAGCTGTGGTGGTGCAGACTGCAGCAGCTCCTGCAGTGGTCCAGCTGAGCCAGCCAGTCCCACAGCCTCAGTTCAGAGACATTCCAGTGACAGTCATTGACAGTGATGGCAAACAGGTCAGTCGGAATCTCCTAGCTGCCCTCCACCCTTCAGGGGAGGAGCATCTGGTAATTTTTTGATGCAAAACCTTGTCCCCATGACGTTGATTGGCCATTTTGCAATCTGATTGGAGATCTCCATTTCTAACCACTAATTTGTCTATAGTTACCAAACCCTAGTGGGTGTGGTTTGGCTTATCGCTTTCATTCAATCATGGCCAGAATATACAATACAAGGCCGTATAATTTATACAATATTGTCTCTGTAATGACGTTAATGGCAATGATGGATCACTGAAGTGAAGTACCACCATGTATAATGAAAAGCATTAAAGTGCAAACTCTCGGCGTACCGCTAATTGATGGGCTGGGCTATTAGTATGTGTTTACTCGTTGTCTCCCACCAGTATATACCTCGCAGAGAGTCTGACACGGGCTAACTATATACCACAGTATATAGCGTGCGGGAGTCGATACACCCCCTTCATTGTGACTTCTTGCGCCTTCAAGATATATACACAGAGCAAGCGAACCGGTTGAGGTAGGCCTGTTCTAATTAGCAATTGGCTTTTTCAGTCGTGTTCCACGCCGTAACTCCGGAACGCAGCATTTCAGAGAAAACCCTATATACATACTTTTCAACGTATATATATACCTGACTCTGAATACGTGGTATCATTTGTGGATCAATTCATGGCTCGTGAAGTGAGATGTTGAGTAACAGACAGACAGACACACAAGACAACTGCCGTAACCCTCGCTGCACAGTCGCTCCGAGGGTTAATTACATCTCTGCATGTTGTTTTGTACGTTATTTTCTTCCCGCAGTACCAGACAGTGTTGGAGTATCGTGTGGGTCTCCTGACGTGGCTGGCCTTCTCTGTCATCTGTCTTGCCACAGTCGGAGTTGGCTTCTGCTTCCTAGCCCTCATTCCGTTCTGCATCAGCAGTCTGAAGGATGTCTACCACATCAACCCCAACAACGGAAGAGTCGTCGGCGTGTACAAGCATGTCTGATGATGAAAAACAACAATTTTTATTATTATTACGTGTTGCCATTCAGTGGACCTTTTTTTGTAACAATGGATATTGTGTGTAACCTTTTGTGTTAGAACTGGATAATAGGGTTGGCACAGGTGAAATCCCACCTGATATTATGCGTCCATGAAGTGTCAAACCCAGCGAAAGTATCTAGCTGAAGCCTCCACAACGCGCTAACCCACCTTCATACTAGTATATACTATAATAGTGGTCCATGCACCTCATACAATATATTGTCACCTTGTCATTTTCAGTTTATAACAACTTAACCCCATACTTTAATGGTCAGAATCATGTAGACGATTACAACTCTATGAAACCTCACTACATACCTTTCTTCATTGTGCTATATTTAACCCTCGGCGCGCATGCGCAGCGATGGTTACGGTAGTCGTTATGTGTCTGTCTGTCTGTCTTTCTACGACTATTCTCGCACTATGAGCGATACCAACAGCTTTAGCGGTACATAGGCTATAAAAAAATGGCTATTTTGCTGAAACGACTGCGTTCGAGAGCGACAAACTGACACGGTCGCGGACAGCGTTGCGTGGCCCCAACCCATCAATAAGCGGTGCGCATGCGTGTATTATACGCAGCATGCTGGCTCACCTCGACCTGATCCGCTTGCTCTGTGTACCTTGGATGAAAACAAGAAGCCACAGCGAAGGGTATGTATCGACTCTCGCGTGCTATCTACTACTGTAGCTAGCCAGTGTCAGACTCTCCGCAAGCTACTAGCGGGAGACCGCGAGTAAACGCCAATAGCCCAGCACATCCATTAGCGGTACCGCGCATACGCAGTTCGCCGAGGGTTTGCACTTTAGTACTTTTCATATATAATTACAAGTGCAGAATACATTGCATCAGTAACTACCACCTACATGAACCATTGAAAGTCACCATACCTTTCAGTATAACTATATATCTGAGTGTTGTGTCTTGCTACATTGGGTGTAGAAGGAAAACTATACGTCAAGGGTTAACCTGTCTTCAATGGTGTCAGAATGATGTGTTTAGCTATTGCTTACCATCAGAAGAATTTATATTGAGTGTGAAAATGTGTAACACTTCAGATTTTAGATAGAAACTCTGCCACCAAAGGAAAAAAGACATCTAGCTAGTACATGTTTGGAAATATTAATATTAACCTACATTTTCGGCACAACCAGTATCCATCTCTCCACCAGATTAAAACAGCCATAGAACTGAGGACTCTGTACACCATTGATTGCAGGGCAGCGTTACAATCGTAGTTTATAGTTAGTATGTCTGGGAAGATTGGGGAACCCTCAGCCTGAATAAGCAAGTATCTGGATTCTTTCGTCACAGGAGTAGCTACACACCAGGAGTAGTGGGGCTTGTGGTGATAGGAATGATGAGACAAACTGCCTCGTGCAAACTGGCACCTCTCATGGCATAAAGAAAGGTGCCTGGTACATGGGGTGGGTGGCATGAATTCAGTGCGCATGGGCATACGGCTGGAGCGGCGGTGCGCTCTCGCTTTCGCTAACACCGTGCCCTAGGTCACTTTTTCCCGCATCGCGCGAATATCGCGTAAGGCACGTATTTTATAGTTGGTAGAGATGTGCCCGTATCAGTTGATGCTTAGCGCGAATCGAGCTCTATAACGTGACGTGGAAGCCAGTAAGTATTAGCTGTCTTGCCTTGATCCCAAAGGCTTTGCTATTTAGCGTGGAGTTCGGAGTCAATGGTCCTTATCAGAGACAATACGGAAATTGTTAGCAGAGCTCTTTAGGCTTGAGCTTCCTCTTGTCTCTATTAGTGGGCTTTCACCCCTTAGTTCAACCGTTTACCAATAATTATTATCATCGAAGAGCTACTGAAAAAGCGCTTCGTATATTATAGCTACGCAAGCATGTGAGGGCTAAAACATCATCATTATTACACCACTATAATTAAAGTTAGTGGTTCTTGCTTCTTTCTAGAGGAACAGTACAGTGTGGCTAGACTACCTAGACTAGCTAGAACCTCTAAAACTAAGTTCTGGTTTGGTCACAGGGCAATGTCTTTCCTCCAGGTGGACTCGCTGGAGTCTACTCCGAACAGCGCGTTGATAGTGGCATCGCACTGAACGAGGCGTGTGAGCTGATTGTGGCCCAGCTGGTTCCACTCGTGCCCGATGCACGGTTTCTTGCAACTGAATACTGCGTTGTTAGTCCCGACGGCAAATATATCGTACGAACCGGAGGCGGTAACATACGTGAATCCGTCGGAGACGTGCCGCCATGTGCCGCTTCCGTCCACCGGGCGGCAAAAGATGGTATTCTGTTCGTTGATTCCGCACACTTCGCGATCCCCGCCATCGACTTGTTTCAAATGTCCGTCGACCTTTACCCAATCCCCGCTGCACGGCTTTTTGCACTTGAACGTGTTGTGATTGCGATTTGTTCCCCATATGTAGCCATGCCCCGAGGTGGAAACGTGTATCAGGTGTCCCAATACTTTCGTCCAGTGTCCGGTTCCGTCGACGGGTCGAAAGAAGATCTCATCGTCCATGTTTACGCCCCAGACGTATTGATCATCAGCGTCTAGTTGCACTAGGTACCCCGGTATCACTTTCCAGTTTCTCGTACACGGGCGCTCGCACATGAAAACAGCCATATCGTGGTCGACTCCCCAGAGGTAGTTGAGATTACCGGACACTTGGAGGAGGCTCCGCGGTATCTGAGTCCATCCCTGAGCACTCGCAAAACCTAGAACTGCAACAAGAAGCGCTGCGATTGGAAACATTCTGCGTCAAGGACTAAGGTTAGGATTTGGACAAGAGACGAAGTTTACGCAACTTCTTTTGGTGTAAATTTTGCGACTCGTTATTATGAAGAGACGCTGAATGACAACGCACCCTCCTACACAACCAATGAATATTCGTAGTACAGTAGCGGTAACTAATATCTAGCTATTGCGCGCGGTAACACGCTGGAGATTATTAGCTAGATATAACTAATACCTATATATAATATAATAATAATTATCATAATAATTATTGTGGTCTCTGGGGATAATGCCAACCTTTGGGTGCCACGCCAATTCAGTACGTCTGTAATTAGCATTCCCATGGACCATGATATCGACAGTTATTAATTAAAAGGAATTCATCATTATGTCTGGACCGTTGAGCACAGAACATTTCTCAAGTGTGCCGGTGGCCTATTAGGTTGCACGACGTCGTGGAGTACAGAAGTATATAGAGTCAATGGCTCTATCCGTACAACCATACCCCCCGCAGCCAGAAACTATTTGACTGGCAAAATACAATTACAATGAAATCACTTAGCTAACTGGATTTTTGTCACCTCAGTCTTCTACATGTATAATAATAATATAAGGTGTGAATGAGGGAGCGGCGTGTATTGCACTCGTTGTTATATGAAAAGACGCTGAATGACAACGCACTCTCCTACACAACCAATGAATATTCCTTGCGGAGTTATAGCGGCAACTATATCCAGCTATTGCCCGCGGTAAGACGCTGGAGATTTTTTTAGCTATAACTAATAATAATAGCTATCAGTGTAATAATTATAAACTCTTCTTGAATTCATATTGTGGTCTCTGCGGATAATACCAACCTTTGGGTGCCATGCTAACTTCAGTACGTCTATAATTAGCATTCCCATGGACCATGATATCGACGGTTATTAAGTAAAAGGAATTCTCATTTTGTCTGGGCTGTTGAGCACCGAATATTTCAAGTGTGCCGGTGGCCTATTATTAGGTAGCACGATGTTGTGGAGTACACCTCAGTCTTCTAGCTACATAAAATTATAGTAACAATGATATAGCACTAGCTAGAATTAGAATTATAAAAATCTACAAATCGCTAAATGAAGTTCCTATAGCTAAGCTGTGCTTTCTATTTAATAATTTTCAAAAAGTAAAGGTTGTCATCGGTAGCTAAGTTTCCGAAGTGGTCTTCTGCCTGAACCGATATGGTGATGTCTTCAGTTGCAGACATGTTCTCAGTCATAGATATCGTGCAGGGTGAGGTACCTGTACATGTCAATTCATCCTTCATACTTATACATCAGACAACCCTCGTAACATACATTCCATAGCTGGTCCACCCTTGATCTGCAGCACGGACGAGAAAATTGGTCTTGTCGAGTCACATGACACCGTGATGGTGTCTTGTGTAGATCTGTACACTGCCGTACACCATATCTTAAATGTAACTGTATAAAGGTTGAAATGTTCAATAATTTTGTTAATTGGAAAAGATGTGTTAATTTACCAGAAAACATAATTCTATTCTCTGCATTATTCCCAGAAGAATCAGTCGCTTTGATGCTGAACATGTGTTTGCCATCAGTTAGGGCGGAGTAGTTTAGGAAATTGTACAAGCCACCTATGGTTCCGTGAGGGAAAAGATCAATGCGTAACAACATGTAGCTAGCATCACCAATTTAATTCTTACATTCTTCCAGAGCCACGTAATCGATGGAGCAGAGCGTGGTGAGTGAAGAGGCAGGAACATTACTAGTGCAATCAATGTGAACCCCATCGCGCTGAGTACACGGCGAAGATTGCACCATACACTCCAAATCCATGAGCTCATCTGGAGCACAAACAAATCACCACTAGACATACATGTTCCCTATTAGGCTATATATAGGTTCTTACAGCATCTTATTTTGATGATAGTTTTTCCCACCATTTT